GATGGGCCAAGTAAGGTGCGGTATGTGCCTCTGATAGAATCTCCTTCCGCAATGCCTCGGCCTTCGGGACCACGATCCTGCCTCTGAACTCCAAGGCACCCTCGGCGCCTAGCTGAAAGTCCTGTACTCCTCCGGCGCGAACCTTGACCTCCATGACACGTACAAAATCGTCAGAAGCCTGCTCTCGCCGGATCCTCTCCCTCAGTGTCGGCTGAAGCTGCATAGCACTGACACTGGCACTAGTGCTCCCCGAGATAGCTGTGGGGAGTGCATCAATCGCCTGAAGTTGCATCCGGGCGAACTCATGAATCAATGGACTCTGCTGGGTGATGACGTACGTCAAGTCTCCCGTCACCTTTCAGCTTAGGGCATCTGCGACGACGTTCGCCTTCCCCGGATGGTACTGGATAGAACAATCATAGTCCTTGACCAACTCGAGCCAACGACGCTGCCTCATATTAAGCTCCTTTTGCGTGAAGATGTACTGTAGGCTCTTATGCTCTGTGAATATCTCGCAGCGTCCGCCGTAAAGATAATGACGCCAGATCTTCAGGGCGTGAACGACTGCAGCTAACTCTAAGTCGTGCGTAGGGTAGTTCTGCTCATGGGGCTTAAGCTGACGTGAAGCGTACGCAACGACCTGTCCGTCCTGCATAAGGACGCATCCCAAGCCCTGCCTCGAAGCATCGCTATAGATAGTGAAACTCCGAGTAGGATCTGGGATAGTCAACACCGGTGCTGTGGTCAATCTCCTCTTGAGCTCCTGGAAGCTCGCCTCACATCCGTCAGTCCATTCGAACTTCACAGTCTTCCTGGTCAGCTGGGAAAGGGGGAGGGCAATCTTAGAGAAGCCCTCGATAAACCTGCGATAGTAACCAGCTAATCCGAGAAAACTGCGAACCTCGGACGGATTTCTCGGTGTCGACCAATTCTGCACGGCTGATACTTTAGATGGGTCCACCTCGATGCCTGACTGGGTAATAACATGACCCAGAAAAGATACTCGCTGAAGCCAGAACTCGCACTTGGAGAATTTAGCGTACAACTTCTCTCGTCGGAGGGTTTCAAGGACCACCCTCAGATGCTCCTCATGCTCCTTCTGACTCTTCGAGTAAATGAGAATGTCGTCAATAAAGACAATCACGAACTGATCGAGGTATGGGTGAAAGATACGGTTCATGAGATCCATGAACACTGCTGGCGCATTGCTGAGACCGAAAGGCATGACTACAAACTCGTAATGGCCGTAACGAGTCCTGAAAGCGGTCTTAGTGATGTCTGACTCCTTAATCTTCAGCTGGTGGTAGCCTGACCGTAAATCGATCTTCGAAAATACACAGGCTCCCCTCAACTGGTCGAATAAGTCGTCGATCCTGGGAAGCGGGTACTTATTCTTGATCGTCAACCGGTTGAGATCCCGGTAATCGATACACATTCGCATAGATCCGTCCTTCTTCTTAACAAAAAGAACGGGTGCTCCCCACGGTGACACACTCGGTCGAATAAAACCGAGTCGTAAAAGCTCCTGGATCTGAGTCTTAAGCTCTTGCAACTCTTTAGGTGTCATGCGATATGGGGCTTTAGATACTGGACCAGCCCCTGGAATGAGCTCAATGGAAAACTCCACCTGACGGTTGGGCGGTCCTCCTGGTAGCTCGTCTGGAAAGACGTCAACGAACTCGCGGACGATAGGAACATCGTGAGGTGTCCGCGCTCTCTGAGAATCCTCAACAAGGCTTACCAGGTAACCCTGGCAGTTGCCTCGTCGCAATAGCTTAGCGGCTTTCGCCATCGATACAACCTAAGGCAATGAACGGTTCTTGGAGCCGAAGAAAGTAATCGACTCGTCTCCCGGAAGATAGAGGGTAATCTCCCGGTCATGGCACCTGATATCAGCATAATAGAAAGAAAGCCAATCCATCCCGAGAATAAGATCAAAATCCTTCATCTCGAGAACGAACGCGTCGGCGGTCAATACTCGGCCACCGATGGAAAGGCTAAGGTCTGAAGC